TTATAGTATTTTATTTAAAAATCAATAGCGTAGGTAAAATTGAAAATTTAAGCGAACATATCAGCGCTGATATGTTGCATTACAAATTCGAAAAGGTAAGCTAACATGTCAGCGATGATATGTTGCATTACAATTTCGAAAAAGTAAGCGAACATGTCAGCGCTGATATGTTGCATTACAAATTCGAAAAGGTAAGCGAGCATGTCAGCGCTGAAATGTTGCATTACAAATTTGAAAAGGTAATCGAACGATTCAGCGCTTGCCCGCAATGACATGCACGTGTTAAAGTAATAGGAGTTTCCTTTGAATAATCAGCGCTAGGCATTACCATTCAGCGCTGAGGGAATCGATTCCCTCAGCGCTGAAAGTCCCGCTGGGCGCATAAAACAGTCCAGACATAAACAAATTTTTCAAAACCTAGACGTAAACAAAATTCTTCAAAACACACAAACGTAAACAACCCGATGAAACCATTGCAAAAATCAACCACCAAATAAATCAGCAAGCAACTTCAAAAAGAAAAAAACAATAGACAGCCACCGCATAAGAGCAGCCGCTTTATCTCATCTAAAGAAACGGGACGTTTCTCTTTAAGAAAGAGGGGTGTTATCGCATGCTCTCACTTTATAGGGTTAAGTATAAAACAGTAAGTTATTTTGTAAGAGAAAATATAGAGAACAAGTTAGAATTTAAATTACGATCTGAGCAAGCTTTGAGTAAAAAGCTTTATTTGTAAGCTCAGACCATTTGAATATAAAAGCAAGAGCATCGCTCACTTTGTTGGATTTTGTCGGCTAAGCATTTTAGAGTAAATATCGTAATATGTAGAACGTTGAAGTTTTCATTTTTAATTTTAAGTTAGTTTTAAGTATTCATTCTTTTGTACGGTTTTAAGAGGGTTAGAAGCGAATTCTACCCATTAATAAATATATTTTTTTAAAACATTTAACCGAACACGAATGAAATAATTTATATATATATATGCATTTATATATATATATATATATATGCATTTATATATATATATATATATAT